AGTACAAATAATCTAATACATGTTCAGGATTTCTCTTAACCTTTATCAATGCTTTAATTACATATTTCCAAAAATTATTATCAATGATTTTAACAAATTCTTGAAGTTTCCCTTTAGATAAATAAAAAATGAAATCAACACTTTTAAGTTTGAAAATACAATGTAGCAAATGTTGCAATGCACCTTCAGTTTTGGTCAGATACCTCTTTACCCAATTTAACTTGATATATGAAATGAAAGATGATAAGTGTAGCATATTTAAACCACCATCCTCATATCTCCCGATAAGTGTATTTCTTTTAACCTTTTCTGTCTTGTATCCCCAAATGAATTTGAAAAATATTTTGTTTATTTCATCCAAAAGATCTTTTGGGGGGTCCGGCAGTGCAGAAAATAAGTGTATAAGCTTAGGGAGAGCTAAAATTTTGATAACTGTGATTTTCCCTAGTGGTGTTAAATCTCTTTTTGTCCATGATCCTAACAATCTCTTAATAGAGGTAATTTTTATTTGAAAATTAATTGTAATCATTTCCTCAAGGTTTTTAGTGAAAGTTATTCCAAGAAGTTTAAAACTATCTTTTCCCCAACCAATTTCCAGATCTGTACACAAAGTTTCTGCTGAACCTGTTTTCCTTCCTAACCACACTGCCTGTGATTTAGATTTATTAAGTTTCAATCCCGATACACTACCAAATTTATCAATAACACTCATTGATTCTCTTAGAGACGATTCACTTCCATTCAGTAGTAAATATGAATCATCTGCATATTGCCCCAATTTGTTTTCTTTCCTCTCAATAATAATACCTTTAATATTTACATTTTTCTTGAGTGAAATTGCTAGTAATTCAACTGTGATGATAAACAAATATGGAGCTAAAGGATCTCCTTGTCTGCAACCCCTCTGAAGACTAAAAAAATCTGATAAATGGCCATTATTTATTACACAACAAGTACTAGAGGAATAAAATGTAAGAAACCACTTAATCAAGGAGTCACCAAAATTGAATGATTGTAGTGCTTTGACAATGAAGTCCCACTCTAGAGAATCAAACGCTTTCTCAAAGTCTAATAAAAGAAGAAGTCCAGACTGGTTTTTCTCTCTCAAATAGTCAATAAGGTCATACAGAAATCGAGTATTTTCACCAATAAATCGTCCATTTATAAATCGCTTCTGTGTATCACTGATAATATCATTCAGAACCTTTTCGATACGGTTTGATATGGCACTTGAACCAATCTTATAGTCTACATTTAGTAATGAGATAGGTCGCCAGTTTTTCATATATCGCCTATCTTTATCCTCTTTTGGAATACAAGTTATTATACCCTGAGACTGGAATAAAGACATTTTCCCTGTATAATATCCTTCATTTAAAGATCGAATAACAAACACTCCTAAATCCCTCCAAAAGAATTTATAAAATTCTACAGTGAAGCCATCAGAACCTGGTGATTTTTTATTTTTCATTTTCTTCAATACTTCCGTACACTCTTTAGCTTTAAGATTCCTTCACAATTCTCCTTTTGCATATCTGATAACCTAACATTATGATTTAGGAAAGCACTTTCATTTAGTAATATTTGACTACAGTACTGTTTTCTACTTTTGTATAAATTTGAGAAAAAAGACTTTTGTTCATCTAATACAAGATCTTGGTTCATTATATGATTCCCATCTGCATCAATAAGTTCTGATATAGTTTTATTAACAAAATTTCTTTTTTCCAACCTACAAAAATAGTCTGTATTTCTTTCTCCCTTTTCATACCATGTAGCTTTGGACCTTAGCATTAAACCCTCAATATATTTTTCTCTTGAATTCTGTAAGCATTGTTTTTTTTTCTTCAAGAAGTTTTACATCTTTTGTCTTTCCTTCAGCGTTTACTTTATATTCTAAATTTAAAATTTCTTTTTCCAGCATTTTGCTCTCAGACTTTAATCTTTTAGTCCTTGCTGATGAATACTCTACAGACAATGATCTTATTTTCATTTTCAAGATTTCCCAAAACAGTTGATCAGCAATATGAAATGTAATTGTCTCTGTTTTGGATATTTCTCCTGAAACCATGTATTCTTCCATAGTTTCAGTTATGACTTTCCTTACCCTATCTGTAAAATCATTTTCAAACAGAAGTTGAGAATTAAATTTCCAGTACCCTTTTCCTCTAGTGCTATCATTTGTTTTAAATTTCAGAATAATTGCTGAGTGATCAGTTCTATAACCAGGAATTATTTTAGTATCAAGTACTCTACTAAATATACAGTGGGATACAAGGAAATAATCAAATCTACTTTGAATTATAGGGTTTGACCTTCTCCATGTATACTGACCTCCTTCTTCATTCCAAATTTACCGTTCACGGTAGCTCAGTCGGTAGAGCGCTCGCTTCGTGATCGGGAGGTCGTGAGTTTGAATCTCGGCCGCGACTGACCTAAGTCGATAAAAAATGGGTAGCAACTGTTCCTTCGCCATGCGCTCGGCACTTTGAAGTGAAAGTTGCGGGTCCTTCGGATGAGACCTTAACAACCGAGGCCCCGTGTCACGGCAGGCGTTGGCACGATAAAGATCCCTCACTCCTCAATGGCCCTGAGTGCCGAGTAAAGGTCAAAATTTGAAGCCCTTCATCGGTATATGGTGACGTCTCTATATGAGTGAAAAATTCTCGAATGGGACGTAAAACAACATCGCAGCACAGTTAAGGCTGCAGTAAGGAGGCGGGGCCTAATTTATACGGGAAATGCTTACTATGAAATCACACAAAAATACAAGTTCTTCAAATTACCACAAAATGAAATGATTTGCTATTTTAAACTGTTGAATAGCTTTAAACTACATCAATACTAACTAGTGCATGCATTATTGACGTTGGTTAAATCCCACACAGTAATATATAAACAATTCACTGATCGCAATGTACTTGTCAATGTGACGTCATATCGTAAAATTTGACGCAGTTTGTAGGCAGTGAGAGGGGGATCAAGTTATATTTATACAATGAAAAATGTATTTTGTAATTAAATAGAATATAAATTGTAGATATATAAGAGGTCATTAACTTGGATGCGATGTCTATTTTATGATTTTATTCATATACTTCCCGTACATTCCCTAGACAAGCGATACTGTCGTATATTTGTATGCAGATGCATTGAAGGGTAATAGAAGGGTCGTTATAAATCGATATATTGCAAGGGCATACCCTCAATGAACTATGACTAGCTTTTACACATAAACTCAAGAAGTATGAAGATATTTGAAAAGTGCTGCGAACTTGTTGAAATCTTGCAAATGAATTAATTATATCTATATTTAATGTACTTGACCAGCAAAATATTCAACATGCGGTCTAACAAATGTAATTTTAGCAATTAGATAGTAGAATCTACATAGGTTCGCAGCACTTTTCACAAACTACAAAGAGTGTTGAAAATAATTATATGTTAAACTTAGATTTTTAACTTGGTTATGCCCTTGCAATATTAGAATTTATAGATAACCTCAATACTTCAGGTATATTTGCTAAAATCACGTGACTGCCACATCACGTGACAAGTCTAAATAAGAAGTCTAATCGTCCTCAACATGTAGTTTTCAACAACATTGCATTTGTCCGATAATAGTAGAGTCCTAAAAAGAAACGCGCATCCTTGTAAACAATGTATTTTCTATCTAAAAAATTCGCCCATATTTCCATTTGGCACCTTAATTGTACTGCGATACAATCAATCATTCCAAATTCTCCAAGGATCAACAACCTCCAATTCCATCTTAATACTTAATATTTTTCTTTGTGCATGTGGATTATTTAAATTTTTAACATTAAATGTGTCCTTTTTATGATCCTGAACTACATTCCAGTCCCCACACATTACTATAGACATATTTTCTAATTTATTGACTTCAGTGTATATATTCTGGAAAAATTCTGGACTATCTTTATTTGGGCCGTACAAATTAACCAAAGTAAATCTGATATTATTGGCAGTAATATCTAATAATATATCTACCTGAGAGATTCTTTTGTACAGAATGGATTTGAAATTCACAGTTGTTCTTAAACAGTACAGCTACTCCGGCTGAGCTACTAGTATAACTACTAAATACAGATTTATAACCCCATTCAGATTCCCATAGCTTCTCTACCTCTTCTGTACTATGAGTTTCTTGAAAACATATAATAGAAATATTCTTATTTCTTACCCAGTTGAATACGTCCCTGCGTTTTTGACAATTTGATGAAAAACCTCTAACATTCATACTTAAAATATTTAAGCTTTCAACCTTTGACATGTTAAGTTAGTTCTTTACATTCTAATTCCAATGAAAAAACTGATAAATTTTTTAAGGCTTTGAGAAAAGCAGAAAAACTGTTGGCACTATTATTATGATAAATTACATATAATTGAAAGTGCACACATAAACTTACACATACACTCAAACATAGAAAACCACAGAAAGTTATTGACTCTTTACATTTTTTAGGCATACCTCGCCTTTAGGCAAACGTCACCCTTCTCCTTTAAGCTCCTCCTGTTTGTGGACATTTTCGAAGTACATGTTTATATCGCAAGTTTTTTGTCAATATCATCCGTTACATCCATCTTGGGTCTTTTCCCATTTGTATCCAACACAAAGATGTGTCCATTGTAGTACCACGCACTGTCTACAATATGTTGTCTCTCCTCGGCCCTCAGTTTTCTCAGCAGCTGCGCATTCATGTTGGTTATGTGATCAAACATTATAAAGTCCTCTTTTAATTGTTCTCTCTTTATGATCACCGACCTCCTCACCTCACTACTAACAAATTTGACAATCACAGGTCTTGGGTGATTTTTGTCATTTGATGGAATTCTGTGAATTGCCAGAATGTCCTTTGGGTCCGAAGTGACCCCTGCTTTTTCAGCCACCCGAGCACATAACTCCTCTTTTAAATTCTGACCCTGTTGTTCTGGCCAATTCAGAATTTTGATATTGTTTTTCTGGGAGTATTGTTGATTCATATTTGCCATGCTAATTGCTGTACTGGCAATTCCATTTGTTTCTTTAAACTGTTTTTCCAATAACTGATCCTTTTTTTCAGCTGTGATACATTCCCCATATTGGTGTCATTGTCCATCATTAAACTATCCACCTTGTCTGACAGTTGCTGTCTCATCTTGGAAAGTTCTTGACCATGTTGACTCTTATCCTCATCCAAGTCTTGGTGCATCTCTGTTTTTAGTTCCTGCAACATCTCTACCTTAATTTCCTCTTTGATCTCCTCCTTAAGCTCCTCTTTCATTTTCTTCTTTAACTCCTCCTTTACCTCCATAATAACACTTTTGACTAGATCTTTTATGTCATCTTTGGTCGCCAGTTTTTTAAGGGTCTCTTGTATGGAGGAAAGAGTAACTTTGATGTTGTCCATTTCTGAATTGTCATCTTGATCTCCTGCAGATGAAGTTCTCCTCTGTTTGCTTGCTGGTTTTATAGATACAACTTGGCCTTTAACCTCAGCTGAGACTGATGACAATGACAGGGAAGGTCTTCCTTTGTCCATTGTCTGTTTGGTGTTTGATCTTCCAGCTTTCGTGTCCTTCATTTCCTTTGTTGACATTGTAATGCTCCACAACACTACACAGTTATACAAGTAAACACAAGGCGAACACAAGGTGAACCCAAGTAGTAGCACTTAGGTGAATACTAGTCAAACACTACTCAGATCCTGAACCTGGAGCAATAAGATCAAGGCCATTAAAGGTGCGGATCAGTTGTTTTGGACCCATCTCCTCGACCTTCACAAAAATGCGTCCGTCGTTCGTCCAGTACGAATCTATCACTTCCGCTTTTTTCGCCTTAGACAACTCATGAACTATTCCTTGACGGTACCTCGTGAGGTCTTCTGTAACAAATAGTTTTTTGTATTGTTCGAATGGTCTTCTAGGCTTGAATGCTGCACAGGTGCTTGTGGACAGGACCCCCCCCCCCCTCCCCCCCCCCCCAATATACACCCTGGGTCCAAGAATATTTTTATTCGTCTTTTTCCATAAATTAATCTTCTAGTACACATTTACAATGTATTCCATATGAAAAATCCAAAAAAAAAAAAAATAACGTAGAATTAACGTTTTATCAAAAAATCATACCCGCGGTATTATGAAATAGAGAAGGTAAGTCACTTCCATTTGTTATCACTGGACCCCTCTTGGATATAGGGCCTAAAATATCATATACCTACTACATGTCACCGAAATATGTTATTATATCTTGTTTCGGTAGATATTTGTTGTCTTTAATCGTGCTATTTAATTGCCTTGGCATTCAACAATAATCCGAGAATTTATCGTCAAATGTAAAAAAAAAAATGTAAGATTTGGAAATGTCAAAGTAGAAATTATACGGAAGTGATGCAGAAACAATACCTAGCAGGTAACTCTCGAGTTCCGAGTGTTACAGAATTAAGGGAAAAGCCAGAGGTCTACAAAAAAAAAAAAAAAAAAAAAAAAAAAAAAAAAAAAAGGGAAAAATTTTGATAAAGAAGTCGATATCGATTCATTAGAATTTAAAGTTTGCTGCAGATTTTCCAGATGAGTTAGGGTAGTCATCAATATTCTTTTTAAAGGATTTTATCACTCAAACCAAATAGCGTTTTAAAAACGCTTTCTTACTGCACTTAACCAGTTTGTACAATTTTCCTGTTGTTCTTCATACTCACATAACAATTGTTTATAACATGTCTGCAGAATGCAATCATTTGTATTGAGCAAATTACACCAATATTTCAGAATTCGTAGTTTTCTTTGAACATACATTGGGCATCTACTAAATTTGAAATAAACCATTAAGTTATTTGTAGATTTCGAAGCAACATAATTTTCTTCAAAAAAGTTAATATGTACTTGCCCAACATGAGGGGCTTTATGAAATCCCCACGTCTCACATCCATAATGAAGAACAGAACCTACATATGTATCAAATAGCGTGCAGTCTCCACATTTAGATTATTCTCTTTCACTCTTTTCCACAAAGAAAAAGTACATTTTTCCTTAATATTTCACCTGTGGAATGCTGATTATTTTCTCCGTATTCCATACCTTACTGCTCAAACGCCGTAAGTACCATGTACATTTTAAAATGTATAAATTTTCATCCATTCACCATTTATATCCTAATAAAATCTTAATTCCATCTATTTTGTTAACATTTAATTGCTGGAAGTATAGTAAAAAAAAAGGAATGAAAATAATAAATGAAGTGAAATTTATTAATTGTCGGAAGTGCAATGCAAAATTCCGGAAATCATATGCACCGAAAATGGTACCTGCCCCACCAAAAGAAACTAATGATACACACTTTGACGCTCAATTGACGACTCCAATGAACACATTAAATCATTACATTATTTAAGTTTCAAATTAAAATAAAAGACCCTAAAAGTTTATAAAATAGGAAAGTTTAGTCACGGATATTAATCGTTGCAGACCTTGTTTTTCATTCATTTGATGATTCGCGAATAACAAATGTCGCTTATGATTATTGGTTTAAATTAAAATAGGTTGTGGATTTCTCTCGGATTTCAACATCAGCCCTCACTTATATGTATACATACCTGAACAAACCAACAGATTGATATTTTCGGCTCTAAAGGAAAACATTGTATTCTTTAAAGGGGGGGGGGGGGTGCACGTGTCGTGATGAGAGGAAATTTGATCACCTGTCAGTCCATTAAACATTAAAAATTATTTTGGAATATTTTTTCATAAAAATTGTTAGGCCATTATTTACACACTGAATTGTCGACGGATTTTTCCGTTATTTCCCGATCATGACAAGGAGCACACGGCGGGTGTGACCGGTCGGCAGAGGATGCTTACTCCTCCACTGCACCTGATCCCATCTCTGATGTTTGGAGGTCCGTGTTTGCTCTGCTCCTATTTTGTATTGTTTGATGGACTTTTGAGCCTGAATACTGTTCGTTATCTCCATACATTTCATACAACTGCGTGGCTTTCTTAGAACCAAATTAGTATTTGTTAGAAAAATTAAATAATTATTTAGATGTTAAGATTTGTTACATATTTGTAAGAACCACTTTATTTACAAAAGAAAGTTTCATCCTTTTATGGACGCCGTGATATATTTTTATAGGCTGTTTAATTATTATTCGGATATATTGCCATTGAAAGGACTAACACATTTTTTTTTTAATTTGGATAAAAATCCGACAATTTCAACCTCGTTTGCTATAATTCACCGAATCGGATCTTTTTTCCGTATAGTCGAAATGCATGGACGAAGGATAAAAAACTGTATGCTGATCAATCAAAACACATCATTGTGATTGTGTATTTAATTTATGGAGATATATTTTTTTCTGTTTTTCCTTATCTGTGAATTACCCGTTTGCTTTGTACACAAGCATGTGTTTTCTGAAAGCTCAGGATGTATTTAGTTTGTAAAATTGTAAAACTGCATGTACTTACAAGCATGTATCCGTAAAATCGTGTATTCGGATATTCTGTTTATTCGACGAGATAAAATTATATCATTCTGTACAATACAATTATAAGTTTGGTAGCAAATAATGCAAACTCAGAAGTGATTAGTTTAATTTTCGATTTTCCCGAGAATTGAAAACTTCACCTCCACTTACAATTATTATGCATGTGTACATGCAGTTTAAAACATGAAAAAAAAATTAATTGTTGCAAACCTAGTGGTTAAGTCGGCAATTAAAATGCATAAAACTTGAAATGAATAAATGCACAGGCGGATAAGATAATGATAAAAATAAGCTTGGGATAGAGTGAAATAAAATAATATGTAAGATTCGAAATGATTTCAGACCCAATTTTCCATTAATCGCTATGTCTATATACATTGCATTTTAACACCGATATGACCGCGGCTCGCTAATCCCTGCGGCCACTTGTGAACGACGAGTGGGTTACAAATTTTAAAGTTAAACACAGAGACAGAGCGGAATGTAAACTGTGTGCTGTAAGAAGGCGTGAATTATTGTGTGTTTAAAAGTATTATTTTATGTATTGAGTTTTTTAATATTAACTGAGAAATTAAATGAAGAAACAAGAGACTGATAGTAAAAATTATACTTTACACAAGTATTAATACACAAATATTACACTTTAAGCATCATATAATTAATGATCATTAACTGTACGCATTTTACATTCTCCATGTTCACCTCGATGTTTATAGTAATGTAACACAACCCGCGATCCCACGTTGCCGAGGTCACCAGTGTACCAGCCACCTGCGGTCATAAACCATGTAAACAAAACAAACATCTGTGAAGACAAATCCATTGTGTAGAAACAACGATTAATGAAACATTATGTTTTTTTTTTTTTATTTATATCGAATCTTTAAGATAACTTAATCTCATCTTTGATTTAATCTTAATTCCAACTCTAGTGCATAAAATCATTTCGAATTTTAATCGCTTTTACCGGCCTGTTCACTGTCGACACAAAAAAAAAAAAAAAACAAAAACAAAAAAAAAAAAAAAAAAAAAAAAAAAAACAATTTATTTCTCTATCCCGTGTAATTCTATTCTATTTCAATTGTAATTGAAAAGGTGCTACGGCAAATAATTGCAGTTAGTGATGGAAGTATTAAGTATAAATACTTGTGTAAAGTATAATTTTTACTATCAGTCTCTTGTTTCTTCATTTAATTTTTCATTTAATATTAAATAAACTATATACATAAAATAATACCTTTAAACATACAATAATTCACGCCTTCTTACAGCACATAGTTTAAATTCCGCTCTGTCGCCTTGTTGTAACCCACTCCTCGTCCACACGTGGCCGCAGAGATCAGCGAGCCGCGGTCATATCGGTGTTTAAATTCAATGTGCACTCATAGCGATTAATGGAAAATTGGGTTTGAAATCATTTCGAATCTTACATATTATTTCATTTCACTCTGTCTCATGCCTATTTTTATTATTTACTTATCCGCCTGTGCATTTATTCATTTCAAGTTTTATGTATTTTAATTGCCGACTTAACCACTAAGTTTGCAACAATTTATTTTTCTGTCTCATGTTTTTAACTACATGTAGTCGCCCGCGTGGCGCACTGGTTAAAGCGTCTGCTCTAGAGTCGCGAAGTAAGGAGTTGATCCTTACGTCGCAGGTTCGAATCCCACTGTGGGACGTGGAGACGGGTCCTTCGGATGAGACCGTATATACCAAGGTCCCGTGTCGCAGTAGGTGCTGGCACGAAAAAGATCCCTCACTGCTCATAGGCCGTAAGTGCCGAGTATAGGACAAAATTTGTAGCTCTCAACCGCCAAGTGGTGGCGTCTCCATATTAGTGAAAAATTCTCGAGAGGGACGTTAAACAACATACAAACAAACAAACAAACATAAACTGCATGTACACATGCATAATAATTGTAAGTGGAGATGAAGTTTTCAATTCTCGGTAAAATCGAAAATTAAATTAATCACTTGTGAGTTTGCATTATTTGCGACCAAACTTAGAATTGTATTGTACAGAATGATATACCCATGCATTTCTCTAATTTCGTCGAATAAACAGAATATCTCAATTACACGATTTTACGGATACATGCTTGTAAGTCCATGCAGTTTTACATGGAAGAGCGCCCAAACTAAATTCATCCTGAGCTTTCAGAGTACACATGCTTGTGTACAAAGCAAACGAGTAATTCACAGATAAGGAAAAACAGAAAAAAAAAACATGTCTCCATAAATTAAATACACAATCGCAATGATGTGTTTTAAAGATAAGCTTACGGTTTTTTTATCTTTCGTCCATGCATTTCGACTGTACGGAAAAAATATCCGATTCGGTAAATTATAGCAAACGAGGTTGAAAATTGTCGGACTTTTTATCCAAATTAACTTCAATGAACGAACGTTTTCAGACTTGTGTTCTAAGTGGGATCTCTCTATAGAGAAACGTAGTTTTGGATATATTATACTACAAAATATGATTATCAAATGCACCTGTATTATGTTATAAAATATCTTCAGTACAAGGAAACCTGTTTTACCAGACAAGCACTGGGAGAAAAATTTACATGATGTAAGATACCACAGTGTAAAGATCAGGGAAATTAGTAGAAATGAGAAAGAAATTCAATGTCGGAATTCAAAGTGAAACGGATTGTACAGGTGTCGGAGAAAACAGTTTCAACTGTAAAAGTTTAACGTAGACCAATCTTTATCCTAATTATCCGTCCAGGCATCTTCCTGTGGCAGTGTTTGTAAATAAGATCGAAATGTTTCTAATTTCAAATTTATTACAACAAATACAATATACTGCTTTAACTGTAAATAGTACAACCACAACCCCCTCAAAATATCGCCCTTTACAAGTTTTTTCACCTGATATGAAACATTAGGTAAAAAAAAAAGAATGAAGAAAATGCCATGATGAAGATAAATTAAAAATTGTCCCTTTTTAAGAGAAATATTTCGCCTGACTGATGGTTGGTCCTCAATGTGAGGTTTCTCTTTTTTTGAATATTAATCTGTTGAAAAAAAAAAGAATTAAAGGAATTAAATAATGTTTGAGAAAAATGAAAGGGTATGTTTTATACAAATTTTCTTATAACCGTTTAAAATGTTCAAAGAAATATCAAAGAGTAAATGGTTATTAAGATTTAGTGATATGTACCTAGTGACGCCTGATCAACATCAATGTCTCCTTAACAGTTGTCCCACTCTCTACTGTAGGATACCAAGGTTTGACCCAGAATGCCGGGTACCACTTACCGTTAAGGAAGGCCTGGTGACAGGCGTTAAACCACCAGCCCCCTCTACGTTTACCGTTAGCAGCACAGTGCTTTACGTCCCCTCTGTCGTTATCTCTGTCCGGGGTACTAAAGTACATCCCAGACAGTTCGTGCTTAGAAGCAAGGGTGATTAACATACTGTCTCCTGTAGAATTAGAAGAAAATATATCAAAGAGATAATTAATTCATATCACATTAATCTTATTGTCAATAATACTGAGGTACGTCTAAGGCAGATAACGGCTTCTCATGTTGTCTCCCGTAAAGAGAGATAATATATAAATACAACAAAAAATACACTGCGCAATTCATACAGCATCCTTTCTAATGTAACAATAAATCCCATGGGTGTTACACTTTTAAACTATGATTAAAAAACAAACTTTTTTTTTTGGTAAATGTGAAATGAGTTGAAATGTTTTAAATTTGTCTGTTTTAACTTGACTATGTTCCCGATCAAATAATTTTCTGAACATCAAGCTTTTATGAAAATGTCGACATTATATTATTAATTATGCGCTGTAATCTTCCTATTCTGTAGTAGTTAAAAATGTGAATTATTGAAAATCATCAAGAAACCTAAGCTAAATAACAAAAGCGAATTAAGTGTAGTTACTGGATATACTAGTTACAAATAATTTAACATCATTGTTTTTGTGTTTAAAAAAATATCATTTTAAATTTCAATACTTAGCAATGAGAAATTCAATGACCGTAGAATTTGTGAATTGTACCTACAAACGATATCGTGAAATATTAAAAACGTTAAATTAACATAGAATCAAAGACGTTTACAGAATATTAGAAAAAAATGTTTCGTTTTCTGTTTATTCAGCAACTTAATAATCTTTCAATGCAAAAGAAGTATTTGATTCTAGACTTGATTTGAACCCAATTTTAAGAACTTAGCTTGGACACACTTACCTAAGGTTCCCGTGGCAGGTCCTGCAAGAATGAGTTGATATTTCTCTGTTTCATTGGAGACTGAGAATCGATCGTACATTTCATACAGCGTTATACCATTCTGGAGAGTGATGGACACATAAAGGGATGAGTTGTTTCCTTTTGTTAACTGATGGATTACGTCATTTCCTGTATTAAGATACATGTATATTTGAAATCAACTGAAAAGTCCATCGCAGCACAATTATTTCCTTTTTGAGTATGAATATACTGTAAATGTATTATATTTAGCGTGTACAATATTTGGCGGAAATTAATTTTTGAAGAAGTTAGCGTAGATTTGATTTAGCGCGTTTCTTAATGTCCTTATTTATGTATATATGTACAAGACATTTAGCGTTGTACTTGAATTAGCGGAAGTTTCTTTTTGCCAAATGCGCTAAAAAGAATACACAGCCAAATGTAATACGTTTACAGTACATTCATGAAAAATCAGATTGTTTTCTTTTAGCTGTAGACATTGATGCTAATTTTGGTTTCATTAAGACTATGTCGCTAAATGACCTTTCTCTCTCTTTTTCCCATATTATTTAAGATATCACAAAACACGATTAGTGAGTATCGTTGAACACATATTACCCAGTCTTAAAATCAGATCTTTGATATGCTTTCATTTTTTATCAGCCACAATAAAGAAATTTTGTCAAACTTTGAAGAGGATGAAAGTGCTTATTTGAAAGTGATTTACACTTACCAACCCAGACATCCTGTTCCGGTGAACCAAAACCATTCTTATATTCCGCCCAGGTCCTGTCAAAACTCACGGATCCATTGACACGTTTTTGGATTGCCTTTGAAAGAAAGCATGTATAACATTACAATTTCGAACAATTGTATGATCAAAATGTTATGATATAAACTCAAAATATTCATTTTTTATCCTACAATCCTTAAAACAACAAGATCACTGAGTGTGAATTATGCTATGTACTTTTAATTTTAAAATAAACTAGATACCGTCCATCCTCCGTCCATTGTCTCCATATCGCAGTAAACTCTGACAGGACTGGTAATGGTGCCATGGGGGTAAATTTCATACACCCCTGTATTAGTCTGACCGTCTGCGTGAAGATCCTTACATTCTAAGGGAATAACTAAAACCAGAAAAAAACTTACAATCTACAAGAATTAAAAAAAAAATACTGGAATCATATTATGTATATACATGTATATATGATTAGTGATGGGATAATCTATAATTTCTTTTAAAAAAACAATACCGGGCGACAGAGAATGCTTAGTAGTCAATGGTGCAGGGTTCTCATCTCAGCTTTCAGAACAGTTACTACTTAAAGAGCATCCTTGTTTATTTTTTAATCAATTACAAACAACAATTTTCTAATGGTTGAGAATGGTACAATTTTATAAAGCTTGAAATGAATTTATTTCTGTATTGTGTCACAGTGTAAGCTTTGATCTTTTTCTCATTAGTATTTCCTTCACAGTAGAAGCTCATTTTTATTAATCGAAGATAATACTAACAGAAGGAAATAAAATATAGGAAAAAAATAAAATTACGTCAATTTCACATTAAGTTTCCATTCGAAATAAAAGTAATTAGAAAAAAAATAAGTAAACAGACAGGACTATTATTTAGAATTAATAATGTTGAGCGATAAAAACTACTGATGTTTATGTGATTTCTGACAAACGAAGAAAAATAACAGTTATATATACAGTCATGAGAGTAGTATCTCCAGCCCTCCTCCTTAGACATCCCCGACGTGAAAATTTTCTTGTGGCTACGACATTTCTTCATCTGTGGATTAAATCCATATAAACTACACTCCCTTTGACAGTGCGCTGCGCATTCTCTCACTGATGTAGAATTGTATTCTCCAAAACGTTCGTCATTTGATTTCTTATCATCCAGGTCTAGTTTTGCGGTATACTTCCGCGATATAGTGGTAGACTGAGACAATGGAAACAAGACAAAGATTGAGTAGATAACCCAAAGAGCGCCCATAGCGTAATTTGCATTTAAAGCTACCTGCAGCGTACCTGTAAGAATTTGCAATGTGGTATAACAAACGCCAAATTTAAATATCAAAACATATATCAGTTACTGAAAAGTGATTGGCTAACTGTTACGTACTCTGTATGTTTCAATCATTTAAATATTGATTTGTTGAATCTGATATGAATTACCATAAATGTTTACTTTGCAGTTCCAAGTATTAAAATGAAACTTTGCTTTTTCTTAAGAAATAGTTCATGTCTAAAGCATGTCTAATATTAAGTCACTGTTATGTGTTTCTGAATTAGCTGTCACATGTCTAATATTAAGTCACTGTTATGTGTTTCTGAATTAGCTGTCACATGTCTAATATTAAGTCACTGTTATGTGTTTCTGAATTAGCTGTCACATGTCTAATATTAAGTCACTGTTATGTGTTTCTGAATTAGCTGTCACATGTCTAATATTAAGTCACTGTTATGTGTTTCTGAATTAGCTGTCACAGGTCTAATATTAAGTCACTGTTATGTGTTTCTGAATTAGCTGTCACATGTCTAATATTAAGTCACTGTTATGTGTTTTTCTGAATTAGCTGTCACATGTCTAATATTAAGTCACTGTTATGTGTTTCTGAATTAGCTGTTACATGTCTAATATTAAGTCACTGTTATGTGTTTCTGAATTAGCTGTCACATGTCTAATATTAAGTCACTGTTATGTGTTTTTCTGAATTAGCTGTCACATGTCTAATATTAAGTCACTGTTATGTGTTTCTGAATTAGCTGTCACAGGTCTAATATTAAGTCACTGTTATGTGTTTCTGAATTAACTGTCACAGGTCTAATATTAAGTCACTGTTATGTGTTTCTGAATTAGCTGTCACATGTCTAATATTAAGTCACTGTTATGTGTTTTTGAATTAGCTGTCACATGTCTAATATTAAGTCACTGTTATGTGTTTTTGAATTAGCTGTTCTTACATTATCGCACTTTTAAAATTATTTTCTTCATTTGATGAAGGTTTCTTTCTCCTAATAAAATTAAAATTTATATATTTAAAGGTCAGAGGGACAACTATCTGATTCGGCAATAATATATAGATTTCTCTTCAAGTTTCAACTTTTGTTTATGCTTTTAATACATAAAAAGTTATCAGCAACACCTTATTTTTTGACTTAGTTAAAAATCTGAAAACATTGTCAAATAAAAACAAAAGATAAAGATAACAAACAGTGGTCGATCTAAAAATAACCCAAACAATACAGATCTGTAAACATGGATCCTTGGAAACTTATAAGGAAGGATCAGGTGCCTAGCAGGAAAAAGCATACTCCTTTGTCAAGTCAAAGCCTCCTTTATTGATAAGTTGGACCGGTGGATAATCAGTAGTTTTGTGTAAAAACAAAGCGTCTAATTGATATGGAAGACGACCAAATGATAAATTGTACTTTCTAACTAGGTCCCTATAATGAATAAAGAATTTAAAAAAAAAAAATAGAAAACTTTTCGGGAAGTCTTTTTCATGATGTTAAAATTTCTTGTAATATTTTTATAGAAATATTCAATGTCTTTGATTTTTTATCATTTTAAGCCTTCAATTTATTTTTATTTTAGATTTTCGGGAGAATCCATCAAGCTCTTTTCATAAAAAAAATACTATTTTGGTAATTTCTTTGTGCTTTTGTGCATTGCAATACAAATCATGTATATTTTGATTATTCTGTAACTTTTTTGATGTGGATTTCAAGTTTTTTATAACATTGAACTTTCATAAGAACTTTAAAGCACATGGCTTTTTAAAAATTTTAAGATAAGAGGTTACCACAAATTGCACTATACATATTAAAAAGTGAATACTATGGAGCTTAATTTTACTGGACATATATTCTATTATAAAAAAGAATATCATCTAGATATTTTAGGTGAAGATATCCTCCTTAGAAATAGTTAGTGTACGGTTCATTTGTTTAAAGATATTTAGAGGGGATAGCCTGAAATTTGTATGAAGTCAAACCTCGATATCTCATGGGACTTGTTCCTATCTATTAGATATGTTAATACACAATAGATCGATACATTTCAATCATCAGTTGACACTCATTCCGAGAATTTGTTAAAAAAAAGTTGATATATTTCAATATGTTTTAAAACGATACTTTTCCCGGCATTATGAATGATTAACGTTCTAGAGTGATACTCATCCTCTTTTTGTTCCTTATTACAGATACAAAGGCCATGGTTTTGTTTTTTATTACAGATACAAAGGCCATGATTTTGTTTTTTATTATGGATACAAAGACCATGATTTGTTCCTTATTACAGATACAAAGTCCATGATTTTGTTTTTTGTTACATATACAAAGTCCATGATTTTGTTCTTTATTATGTTCCCCAAACGGAGTTTGGGAACATATTGTTTTTACTCGGTTTCTTATTCTTATTATTATTATTATTATTATTCTTTTTTATTCTTATTTCTTCTCCGGTACTTTTTTGTCCGCGAGTGTTCTAGGAAACTATTCATCCAATTGAGTTAAAACCTTTTTAGGGTTAACAGGTATGTTGTGTAGATGTGTGGAACGAAGGTCATTTTGCGCGCACATGCATGCACGTGCGGGCGCATGCAGTGAGTGAAATGACTGATATTCTTCATATAGCCGTAACTTTTACATTTTTTGATGAAATGCTTTGAAACTCATAATATAAGGATATATTAGTAGTGTAGACAAGACGATATGGTCAGAATAGCAAGAACTCACGCGCATGCACGTGCGCTTTGCTCTGATTGGCTGGAACAAAAGTCTCAATATCTTTCTTGTTTTTTGACAAAATACTTTGAAATTTTAAACATAGTCATATATTAGGAGGTTCTACAGCATGATATATAAGAAATCTCATGAAAGCACGCGCATGCACGTGTTCTGCAATCTGATTGGCTCAAACTTTGAATGCCTATAACTTTCTTGGTTCTCAATAAAACAGGACGAAATTTAGAATATGAATAGGTATAATAGATTACTACATTATGCTACTCTCAAAATTAAAAGCAAGGACATGCATGTATGTGCGCACGCGCACAATGCGTTAAATGACCAATATACTTGATGTAGCCGAAACTTTAAAACTGTTTGATGAATTGCTTTGAAACTCATAATATAAGGATATATTAGTAGTGTAGACAAGATGACATGGTCAAATTAGCATGAACTCACGCGGATCCACGTGCGCTTCGCTCTGATTGGCTGAAACAAAAGTTTCAATATCTTTCTTGTTTTTTGACAAAATACTTTGAAATTTAAAACATAGTCATACATTAGGAGGTTGTACAATATGATATATAAGAATCATTATGAAAATACACGCATGCACGTGTTCTGCAATCTGATTGGCTTAAACTTGAAATACCTATAACTTCCTTAGTTCTCAACAAAAGATGAAATTTAGAATATGAATAGGTATAACGGATTTCCACATTATGCTACTATCAAAATTGAATGCAAGGACATGCATGTACGTGCGTACGTGCACAATGTGTAAAATGACAAATATACTTGATATAGCCATAACTTTTAAACTTTTTGATGAAATGCTTTGAAACTCAAAAATACAAATAAATTAAAAGTGTAGACAAGATGTTATGGTCCTCATGCCTATGCATGCACGTGCATGCGCGTGTAATGCGTAAAACGACTAATATACTTGATTGCCTTATTTAATGAATCTTACAGGAAATAAGACACCAAAAGGAAGTTGGGGAGCGTTTGGGGAACATCTGTAACGGTCCCCGTTACAATTATAACTAGTTTCAGATACAAAGGCCATGATTTTGTTTTTTATTACAGATACAAAGACCAAGATTTTGTTTTTCTTTACAGATACAAAGTCCATGATTTTGTTTTTTATTACAGATACAAAGACCAAGATTTTGTTTTTTTATTACAGATACAAAGTCCGTGATTTTGTTTTTTATTACAGATACAAAGTCCATGATTTTGTTTTTTATTACAGATACAAAGTCCATGATTTTGTTTTTTATTACAGATACAAAGTCCGTGATTTTGTTTTTTATTACAGATACAAAGTCCGTGATTTTGTTTTTTATTACAGATACAAAGACCAAGATTTTGTTTTTCTTTACAGATACAAAGTCCGTGATTTTGTTTTTTATTACAGATACAAAGACCAAGATTTAGTTTTTTATTACAGATACAATGTCCATGATTTTGTTCTTTATTATGGATACAAAGACCATGATTTGTTCCTTATTACAGATACAAAGTCCGTGATTTTGTTTTTTATTACAGATACAAAGACCAAAATTTGGTTTTTTTTATTACAGATACAAAGGCCATGATTTCGTTCTTTATTACAGATACAAAGGCCATGATTTTGTTTTTTATTACAGATACAAAGGCCGTGATTTTTTACTTATTATAGATACAAAGACCATGATTTTGTTTTTATTAGAGATACAAAGACCATGATTTTGTTTTTTATTATTGATACAAAGACCATGATTTTGTTTTTTATTACAGATACAAAGGCCATGATTTTGCTTTTAATTATAGATACAAAGTGCATGATTTTGTTCTTTATTATACGCATGTGATATAGGGCTAGGTATAGGCTTTTCTATGCAAATGAGCTCATAAAAACGCATTAGAGGTGTATTTATTATTCATAGAAAGTGTTAAATTATTTTCTTATGCATATTTAGTACCCACGATATGTTATAGCAGTACACATGATGATGTCATATTATGACGTCACTGATCTTACCTACTGGAGTTAATAAAACACATCAACAAAACATCTTCGGCGCAAGGTATAACCCTATTAATTTTTATATAAAAATTGTATAATGCCTAGAAGAATATTTTATAGATTAATAAAACTACTCCACAAATCCTAGGCAATTTCTCATTTGATCGAAATTTGAGGAAACTTATACCGGACTCTACATTTTTACCCTTATTCATCTTAAAACTTTACAAATAGAAATTATACAA